AAACAGTATATTAATATGGTGTTTACTAGTTATTTAACAGTAATTGTTAAACAATAGAATACATATAGTTGTTTAATACAGCATTTATAAATTAACTAATAGTAAGTATTAAATAATACAGTAGAATATATAGCATTGTTTAATATAAATTAAACTCATTATTTAACTACTTGTGTTAATTAATATATAAATTGGCATAAAATGATACTTTTAAAACTTTCTGATGATACTGTAAAATTTTTATTAAGACAGATAGTTCTGAAGATGATCTTTTATTTGACTATAATAGAGTAGAACAATTAGAAAAAGCAAATCGATTAGGATCTGAGGAAAATGAAGTTACAGTATTGAATAAAGCTACAGAATTAGATGAAGCTACAGAATTGGATGAAGTTACAGAATCAGATAAAGATATAGAAATAGATAATATATATGAAGGTTTAGAAGATGAGGAAAATGAATATTAGATTGATAAGAATGAATATATTAACTATTTAGTAGAATCTCAAAAAATCAATATTGTTGGTAATAATCTTGAAAATATAAGATTAAGCGAAGATAATGAAGGGGATAGTGATTTAAAATAATGTCATATTATATTCGTTTAATATTTGATAAGTTCAATTTGAGTATAAAGCTTATTTGTATACATATATAAGGCTTGATATAAAAAGTTAAAAACTTTGCTTTGAATCAACTATGTGATAGCTAAATTGATGTTTAAAAAATTAGCTTAACCAGTTTAGTTAATTAAGTAATAAACATCGATAAGTATTATAAATAATTAAAAAAAATCTGTTAACACTTATTAAATAAAAATTACAGATTTTCTTTTGCAATACTCATTTTAAGATTTAAAATTTATAATAAATTTAGAATACTATTAATTTTATAATATTTATATCTATTATTAATTGGCTTTTTATTAAATATAATGATAATACTAAATATTTTGTATAGTTGATATATTAGATATTTTACATAGCAAATATCCAGATATTTTACAAATCACAAATCTACTTTCTTTTTAAAATACCCGGATACTTTATATTCTACTGCAAATTTTTTTTAAGAGAAGTACTTTAATATGGGAGGTACTATGATTCATGCTGTATAGTAATATATCTGACTTTAGTTTTAGTCAATTGTTTAAGATATAATAATTGTAGTGATGAATATTACTAATATATTTTAGTAAACTTGTATAATATAGTTTAAAAATTTTTAGATATTAGAAAAATTAATAAAAAATTTTTAACCTATTATCTATACAAAAATATTATTCCTGATAGATTATCAATACTGTTTTTAATAGAATAAAAAAAAAGTAATTTATATACTCTTACTAATAAGGTTCTAAAAAAAGTCTCCAAAATGCTATACTACTATAGTTTGTTTTTAGAACTCTATTAGAAATAGTACTTAAATAAATTTTTTTAACTCCATCAAAATCAGTGTTGGCCATTTTGGGTCATATACAACTTTATATGACCAAGGTGGTCATAATGTAATAGTAAATTTTATAAGTCATAAAAGGTCATAAGGTCATAATTTATAGTTATCCAATAGGTCATAACAGGTCATAGGCCAACACTGATCAAAATAGTATTACCAATCTATCAAAAATAATATTTTTGTATTATCTATTTTTGTTATAAAAGTTTTATATTTTATATGATTAAATTTTATATTATGATTAACTTATAAATAAATATTGCTTTTTTATTATTTTTTATTAAAAAATTTGGATGTTTTAAAATATTTAAAACATGTTTTAAGAGTAGGTATCTCATGATTTTAGGGTCACATAATTAACCAATCAGAATGCTTGATTTGGCCTATTGATAGTAAAATTTGTCTATCAATAAGCAAAATCAAGCATTTTGATTAGTTAATTTATGTGACTCTAAAATGATAAAATGCTCTATTTTTTTTTCTTTTTTTTTATCTTTGCAATATCATAGAAAAGTGAATTTTTATTAGGTAAATTTAGTAGTATATTTTTGGTTAACAAGAGTATATTTTAGCCATATCTGTACCTTTTGAGCACCTAATTAAGTAGCTACCTATTACTAGAGTTTACACTAGATGCTGTATCTATAACTCACTATTATTTGAATTATTTAATTAAACTCTTTGATGCTTCCTGTCCTGTATTACCATCTTAGCTCATTCCTTGTACTGTTTTATTGAAGCCCATCTAGATCGACATGTGCTATACTACTTGTGCTTTAATTCTATAGATAACTCAGTAAATTTTTTATACTACCAGGTTGCTCTAATAAGGATGTAGTATATATACTCTAATTTTTCTATATTCTACATATTTTCAAATTAGGCTTTTTTCAATAACTTATGCTGAGTCTAAGAACAAGTACTTATAAGCTGAGACCATTACAGTTATCTACTACTGCCCTTGTAGAGTTTATTTAGACCCTGGTATCTACTTTACAGACTCTCTTCTATATCTCTGAAAACCCAAACTTCTTCCTTTAGTTATCTATCGGCCTGGTATAATGTCTTGCTAAACAATTTGGTCCTATCTGGTTTTCTGATATCTGGTTGATTATTTTTTACATAGTAACTATCAAAAAATTGTGCTACCTCTCTACTTGGGTCTTGCTAAGCGAACTTCTGTATTTTATAAATTCACTGTATTTATTTAGTAGCTTCACTTAGATTTCGTATAAATTGTACATCACACTACATATTCCACTACCTTCCAATACAAGCTAATATAACCCTTATTACAGGTTCTATAACCTAATAGAATACAGTCTTCCAAATACATTTTTTGTAAATTTGAATTTTTGTCATCAGTAAGATTTAAACTCTAGTTCTGCCACTTGGAAGTGCGATAACTTGCCAACTTCACTAAGTCGTTACACCCTTAGATACCCTATTCTTAAAACAAATTGTTTTAATAAACAATTCTCTAGTAAACTAAAGAATAATTATCTCTTAAACTGTTAATTTTAGCAGGCAAATTTGCTTGCTAGAATTTTTATAATATTTATAAAATTTGCTTCTGATATATTTTTATTAAAAATTAAATTATTTAAAAAAATTTTTTGGGATTTGGGTTTCATAGCTTAATGGATAAGCTCCTATCTTTCTACAAACAAGGTTGATGGTTCAAGTTTGACTAGAGGTAGAATATTCTGTAACTGAAAAAAGAGCCTATAATTGTATATGAAGCTTTGTGAAAGTTTAAGTAAAGGAATTCCCAGAAAGAAACCAGTATGGCAGAGTATAGGCACAACTATAGTGAAAAATGTGAAGAATATCATCAACATTTGTGAAAAAGATTGGTCTTACTTAATATGAAATCACCTCTGGTGCAATAAAATCTGGATAAGATGTGAATATGAAAACTACCTCCTTTGATAGAATTTACTTCACAGATAAAATAGCCTGAAGGTCAGACCAAATATCTAAATTAAAGATTATGTAAGCAGAATAATATTGAAAATTAGAAAGTTTAAATAGAGACCCACAAGTAGGTCTTAGATATGGTAATGAGTGAGGAACTTACAGGTGGAACCTTTAAATAAACAATGACTAAAGTTGTATGTGTGGCTTATTATACCTTTATTGATATGTTACTATAAACTTTTTTGTAAACACAAACTGTAAATACTTTAATAATAAAAAAAAAATCCCCAACTAATGAGATCATTCTATAAACCATAAAAAAAAAAAAAAAAATTTTTTAAATATTAACTATTAATATAGATTTTTTTTAATAAATTTAATTTTAGAGTATAACGACTTAGTGAAGTAGTTAAGTTATTGCATCCCAAGTAAAGTTGACAAAGTCCTTAGGTTTGGAACTTTAGGATTTGGTCTTTAGATCTAATTTTTAAAAACCAGGTTCTGATTTTAGGACTTAAGTTCATAGGTCCTTAAAAAAGTCTTAATATAAAAAAATATAATATGCAATATATATATATATACAGTACATATATATGTGTATAAACTGTATATATATGTTGTATATTCTGGCTTATTTTATGAATTCAATTAATTTTGGTTTGAACTAAATTATTCTTGAATCCTAAAATAAACTAGATCATTTCTCAGTAAAAATTTTAAAAACTCAAAAAATTATATATCCAAGTGATAAATTATACAACAAAGCAATAATATTTACTATGTAAAATTTTGTCAATGTATAAAAGTTATAAAAATAAAAATAGAATTTATATCAATATCTTTAATAAAGTTTGGAAGTAACTGATATTTATTAATTATCTGATATGTTGTATGTTTAATTACTTTATATGCAATATATAGTAGACCTAAGTCTTTGGACTAAATCTTGAGTTTTGGGACTAGGTCTTGGACTAGACTTAGGTTAACTCAAGTCTTAGAGCTAGTTTATAAAGACTTAGTCTGCAAGTTTATATAGTAAGATTTATAGTTTATAAGATTAGAACTGGACCAGGACTAGACTTTATCATCTCTACCCCAAGCGGCAAGTTAGCAGATGGAGGTTCAAAATCCACTGATGATGAAATTTCGAATATTCTGCTTGTACAACAGCTATTGTCTTTTAATGATCAGTTGGAATAGGATCTCTGTAATCTTGATTGCATCAATAAGATTGGGAGAACATGGTGCATTTATGCAACGTATAAGTTATATAAAGATATGCAAGCCAGTATTAGTTAGTATAAACTTAAGATAAGACCTTGTACTCGTATAAACCCAAGAAACTGGAAAGATGAATGTCTACTTGGCAAAATCTGAGTAGAGATGTAGTACAAACTTTCAATGATAGCTACTGAAATAGGCTTTACCCAAGGTCAGAGAACCGAATATAGTAAGAACATGCAGCAATTTGTTCTACCAACTAGGCTACTGACTTGAGCATCGACTAAAGAAAAAGGATCAGCAGATATCATAGAACCAGTATCTCTTTCGAACCATTTGAATTGATAGTCTGAAGAGACCAGCTAGGGGATATTAAAAGGAAAGGTACTAGTTTGTCTTGAAGAAAGAGTACCAGGTTTGGGTAAACTTTGCAAGGGCCAAGGAGTTCGGTGATATGGTCTGCCTATAAAGGTTTAGAACCTATCTGGTGAACTTATCAGTGAAAAGAATTAGCAATGTAGTTTGCTTATAAAGATATAGAACCTATTCAGCAAGACTTATCCAAAAAAGACTAGGTAATATGGTAATAATAAGTACTGAACTGCTCTAGCAGGTGATGACCTTGAGGATGAATCAGTTAACCAAGCTAGTAGTTCTATAAGTAGTTTGCAAATGAGCCTAGAACTTGGACTAACTAATGTACTACAGGTTCTGATAAGGTTAGATAGATTGGTATAAGAAACTCAGATCAGAAGATTTAATTGGATAACCCAAATAATAAGTGAATTATAGATATAATATTTCATATAAAATCTAATAATAGACAGACTATTTAAATTAAGTACTCAAAAGGTGCAGATATGGCTAGAATGTATCTTTGTCAGAATTTACTTGTCTGAGTCTCCTTGAAAAGAACACTATATGATTCTATAATCTAATAAAAGTGATAAGCCAAAGAGGCTAATCTTGACTACAAAAAAAAATAAAAAAAAAATAAATTTAATTTTTATATTTGTATTTAAGTTATCTATAAACTAAAAAAATTTAAAAATTTTAAAAATTTTCGATTTTTAGAAACTCTATTTTTGACTATTAACAAATTTTTAAAATTCTAAAAATATATATCCTATTATAAATTGTAGATTAAGTTATCATAAACAACTTTTGTTATAAATCATTTATAATTTTATAATTAAAATTTTAACTTTAATTAATAGAGAAATAATTTTAGATCAAATGTAGTATAGCTTATCTCAGCGTTTCTGAAAAATTTGCCAAGAAATTAGCAAAATTAGCTATATCGATCATTGGCCCAAATTAAGCAAAAATTTGAAATTACACTCTGTGCATTATTCTATAAAATATGGCATATATGTACGTATGTACATAACTGATCCATATTTTTTTATTACTGTTCATTAGATTCTTTAGATCATATAAGATCTTTGCTGTAGAGTAAAGAGTATAAGTAACAAGATTTTAAGTTTATATGAAACAGGTTATTATGTAAGATCTAAAAAATTTAGATTAGATCTAAAAACTTTGTTGCTGTTTAATATGAATCAATACTTGACTAACAAAGGTTATCGGCTAGTAGCCTTATACTTTCATTTAAAGCAAATACAAAAACATATACAGAAAGGCACTTTCACCAAATTATTAAAAAAAAACTTAACAACTTAATAGGCTCCTATAGTTGCATAATAATTCACGACTTTGAAATACTGAATTATCAACGTTTGAGTTTAATGCTAGCTGAATGCGAATTATTGGCAAAATTAGTTAAGTATAATACTAATACAAACATACACCCAGATTTATTAACAAATAGATTGTCAGGTTCTTTGTTAATAGCGAGTCTCGAAATGCTACAAAAGAATTCTATAGTTTTTTTGGATCTCTTATTTAATATGATATCATTCAGTAAGTATCTGATAATGAGTTTAACTGGTTAGGTCAACTGCTAAAAAAGAATAGTTCAATCTAAGACTTTCTTTAGCTTTTAATAAAATTAGTTATAAGAAAAATAGCTTATCTTTATTGATTTCGTTATTTTTATTTAAGCATCACTTTTTAGCAGGTTTTGTCAGAACAAACACAAGATATTCATTTATGTTTAAAGATCTGCTGAAATGTAAAATACTAGTAAATATATTGCATTGAAAAGTTTTATTAGAGTAGCAAGAAACTTAAAGGATAATGATATATCTAAGAATGAATATTTATTATCTTGGATTCCTTATAACAAATTTGAAAATGCAAAATTTAAAGCAGAGTAGATTCGCAATAATATTTTATATAACTGGATAGATAAAACCGTTATATTCTTATGAAATTTCAGAGGACCTACAGCCCAAAGTTATCAACCAGATCATAGAACAGATGAGTTCTATTAATAATATATTATTATATTATATTTAAAATCAAATTTTGTTACTGTCTTTTGAATTTGAATAGAAGTAAAGCTTATAACAGGAAGCTCAGATAATATTTGGATTTTTGCAATGTGGTGGGTCTGCCAATCGTAACAAGCTTTGATTTATAGATTATAGAATTTTGGTTGGATAGGTTTAATAATAATAAATATCATTTCATCATACTTTACATGTATCTATCTATCCTTTACATATAAAATTGATTAATTCTTTGTATATTTATTAATTGAAGTGGTTTTTTTTATTATTCCTTGGTATTAAAATAAATATGAATTCTTTAAAATTATGTAATTTAATTAGTTAATTATTATAGGTGAAAGTTTTTTTCTATCACTATGATTTGAGTTCCAAATCTAATTTTTATATATAAAAAATGAATTTATAGCCATAATATAAATTATATATAAAAAGTGTTTGACATATAGTTAACTAGAGGTATTTTGTAAAACTTAGTAAATGCTATTTAAGATTTTACTAAATCTGTAGTTGTGATATTTGTTATCTATATTTTGGCCCATATTTATTTTGGAAGCCATTTCACTTTTTATATAAACAGAATTAAGGGTAGAGTATATGTAGATCATTTATTATATAATATGCATGGCAATTTTTTTTGTATAACAGATTACATAGTAAACACAAATCTAATTGGGTAATTATCTGTTTTAGAAATATTTTTACTATGGTTTTTTGTGTAACCTGAGAAATGTGAGAAATCCACGAAAACTTTATAACATATATATATTCATTTTTTAAAAATAATATAGCCCCTGAAAGTTTTACTACTATAAATAGAAGGTTTGAACTGTAAATTACCAAATTTTGGTAAAATTTAGCTGTGGCTTTGAGAATTTTTACTAGTGACATATTTTACTTTATGCATAAAATTCTGTGTACTACAGAGATCATATGATAAATAATTGACCTATACTCTACCCTTAAAATATGCTTACTGGTAAATAAGCCATATATATCAAGAATGGAAAAATATTCATCTTATAGATCAAATTTTGTTTGATATCATGGATAAAAAAAATATGCATGCATAATTGATTTTATTTAGACCAAAATTTTAATTACAAATAAAATATCATCTATTAAACATGTGCAAATACAAAATCCTCCTATGTAGTGTTGTTATTGGGTTGGGTTAGTTTGGTTCAAATAACCTAATCTTCAACCCACTAAATTAGACTTACTCCAACGTTTTGCTCTGGGTTGCTTCAAATTGCTTTAAATCTAAAGGCATAATTTTAAACCCACTCCAACTTGGGTTGGGTTCTACTCCAGAGTGCTCTAGAGTAAGCTACTCTATTAACAACCCTACTCCTATATATCAAACCTATCCTAATTATTTTCTTTTGATGAAATGTAGAAAATCCGTGTCTTGCATATGCACATGTACGGTAATTGCTATACTTCATAATTTAAGTTCACGGCTATTAAAGATTTGAAAAAAAATAAATAAATAAAAATTTTAATTATAATAAATTATAAAATGAAAATTTCTAAACCTACACATGTGTTTGTACACGTATAATAAAATAAACAAACAAATTTTTATTAAAAAAATTTAAATTTCTTTAACTTTTGGGTTAGTGCAAGACTTGAGATTTTAGCAAGAATATAGTTATATGCAAAATTTAGCAGGAATTTTTTTAATTAGAATACCAAAGGTGGTTTCATATGTGAAATTTTGAGATATTTAGATTTTTTGATTTTTTCACTAAAAAAGTTTGTTTTTGTTACACAAAAAAATGATCTATATGTTACACTTGATCTTGAATTTTAATTGGCTTTTCTAATGATTTGGTGTAACAGTGTGTATACACACTAGTGTACAAATAGAAATACTTATATAAAATATACTATATTCCATTACAAAATTATGATGCAATTATTATTTTGCAGAATTTAATTTTTTTTTTTTAACATTGAAAATTAAAATAAAGTATTACTTACACATTTTCACTATCCTTATTTGCATTCTCCCAAGAATGATACCTATACTATCATCGCTCTAGCCTATATTGTTTAATAAAAAAATTACATCAGTTTCTTATTTAATAAAGGGATTTTGTATGAACAGCCTGTATGCAGTAGATGTAGTGCTAAGATGACAAGGCATAACAAAGTTTTCTAATGCAAAAAAGGTGCAGAAAAGCTATGTTGATATTTAAGAATTCATTTTTTTCTAAGAATCGATTGAAGGCTAATGATGCCCTTTTGATCAGCTATTTATAGCTTTCCAATACATCACATAAATCAATTATGACAATTACAGACCATTCATCACATACAATAACAGATTATATGAGCTATTATAGGTTATTAATTAATTAAGTTTTTTTTTTTTTTTTTTTTTTTTTTTAACAATTTTTTTTCTAGATTTTTTGTTAGTTTTGATATTCAAAAGACTCAAAGTAATATTGGGAGCCCGGGTATCATAGTGGAGATAGATGAGTCAAAGTTCTGTAGACGAAAATATAATCATGACTATCATGTTGAGGAAGTATAGATTTTTGGTGGCGTAAAAAGAACCTCAAAAAGAAAAATGTTTGTAAGAGCTGTTGATTACAGATTAGCTAAGACCCTACTCTCTTTAATTGAGGAAAACATAAACTTTAGGTTTATTATTTATTTAGATCTGTGGCATGCTTACACAAAAATAGGCTCTAATTTAAGATTTCAACATCGAACCGTAAATCATAGCTTAAATTTTGTCAACTCTACTATTGGCATCTATACAAACACTATTGAAGAAACCTGGAATGGTATTAAAATCTAGGTTAGTAATAAAAAAAATTAATTTAGTCAATTTAATGTTTTTGTTTAAATCATAATTAATTAAAATCTTGTAGAAAAAATCTAAACGATGTCCCATATACTTTGTGCTTCTATAGCAATTTGTGCTCACAATAGAAATTATGATTAGGTTAAAGTTAGAACTAAAATTAGAGTTAGGGTAGAGTAAAATTGCTAGAGTTTACTTACACGATAGGGTTAACTATATAATTTACAAGATATCTAGTAGGGGCACAAAGCATATAGAGTACTGTTTAGTTTTGTCCAAATTTAATAATAGCTAATTGCAACTATAGTAAAACCTCTATAAGTGCACTCTTTATAAATGCATCTTTAATTCGGGCCTAACAATATAGATGATTTCTATAAATACTTTTTCTTGTTTTTATTGTTCTCTAATTACAAGTTGTTAAATTTAGTCTCAAGTATACGCACTTATGGAGGCTTTACTGTAATTACCTATAGGTGTAAAATAATGCCCAAGAGTAATTTCAAATTATGGTCTGTATTATGTTTAACTTAGACTATAATTTATAATAATGCTTCTAGACATTATTTGCTCTTACCAAAATAATCCCAAAGTCTATAGCTTTTATTTTTTTTTTTTTTAATTTAGATTCCATCAAGAAGCCGTACAAAATCTAAAATTTCAGACGCTTGCTTGAGTTCATATGGTGCTGACAGAACAAAGATAATCTTTGGAAGAGGATGTTGGAATGCATGAAAAATACAGAATATTCTGAAGAAGAGGAAGTAGGTAAAACAGATAAAAGTAGAAGTGAAAAGGATAAGGAGGAAAATGAAGAAAATAATGAAAGAGAAAATAAAGAAAATAAGTATGATGATGGGTATGATGAAATGAATAAAGAGAATGAAGATGAGAAGAATAAAGAAAATAACAGAAGGGAAAATGAAGGTGAGCATGATGAGTATGATGAAGTGAATGAAGAGAAAGAAGAGGAGAATGAAGAGATGAATGAAAATGGTGAGAAAAATAAAGAAAATGACGAAAGAGAGAATGAAGAAGATGAGTGTGATGATAAGTATGATGAAGTGAATGAAGAGGAGGAGGATGAAAATGATTAGGGAACAATGAAAATGAAACGAAGATGAGAATAGAAAAAATGGTGACAACAAAAATGATAATAGTAATTATAGAACTGAGAATGAAGATGAGAATAGAAAAGGCATTAATAAAAGTAGTGAAAAAATAATAGAAAAAAAAATTGATAATCATTTACTTACTACAAACAACAGCAACTACCTGAAAATTAATACTTAATATTCAAATCATTCAATCCCTATCAGTTAAATAATTATAATTAATATTAATAATAAATTAATTGATTTATTAAAGCAAAATATAATTACCTGGATAATATAATGAGTGTCGTTAAAAGAAAATCCGAACATTTAAATATAAGTCATATTTAAATTTTCGAGTTTTTTTTTAGTGACACTTATATAATGTATTCAATAAATTAGCTTTAAAAAATATCATCAAGATATGTTTGTAAATGCGTAATTTTAATAAATTTGCAGTTATAGACATTGTTAGGATATGTTTGTAAATATGTGCTCTTAATCTTTTTTAATATTCTGAATTCTGATAAATATTTTTATCGCTATACTATTCTATAACGATCTTATATAACACTTTCATTTCTGTATATTTATTATAAGATACAGATTTTCTATACAAAATTATCTCCAACAAGTAAATGTCTAATACTGTTGTATATTGACATCTGTCTAAAATTTTTGGTGCTATATATAGAGAACTTTATAAACCCACGACATTCTTTCCTGAATGCAATAAACGTGCTATATAATCTATTTTATAAAATATTAAAGCTATGTAATTACTCTAAAAAAAAAAAAATTAGTTAGAAATTTTTAATTTAGAAATGCATTCAAATATATTAATAAATAACTTACTTTTTAATCTACTATTCAAATTTTTTATAATTCTGTTTCTAATTCTGTATCTATAGCAAATGGCAGTTTTAAAAAATTTAATAGAATTATCTGCCTCAGCTTACTTCAAATAATAATGTTCAACAATTTGAAAATGAACGATAAAGCCCTGGCAAAACCTGCTGAAAAGCGATGCCTAAAATCAATAAAAATAGCGAAATCAATAAGGATAAGCTATTTTCTTTACAATCAATTCTAAAGAAAGTTTTAAATTGAACTATTCTTTTTTTAGCAATTGATCTAATCAGTTAAACTTATTACCAAATGCTTACTGAATGATATCATATTGAACGAGAGATTCAAGGAGCCTTTTATAGCATTTCGAGAATTACCCTTAATGAAGAATCTGACAATCTATTTGTTAATAAATCTAGGGTATATGTCTGTAATAGTTATTATACTTAACTAATTTTGCTAATAATCCGCATTCAGCCAAAGTTAAACTCAAACGTTAATAATTTAGTGTTTCAAAGTCGTAAATTGTTATACAACTATAGGAGCCTATCAATTTGTCTAATTCCTTTTCAATAATTTGGTGAAAGCACCTTTCTGTATATGTTTTTGTGTTTGCTTTAAATGAAAGTATAAGGCTACTAGCCGATAACCTTTGTTAGTCAAGTATTGATTTGCATTAAATAGCAACAAAGTTTTTAGATCTAATCTGAATTTTTTAAATCTTATATAATAAACTAATTCATACAAACTTAAAATCCTGTTACTTATACTCTTTACTTTACAGCAAAGATCTTACATGATTTAAAGAATCTAATAAACAGTAATAAAAAAATACGGATCAGTTATATATATATATACAAATGTGCTGTATTTTCATGAAATAATGCACAGGGGTATAATTTCGAATTTTTGCTTAATTCGGGCTAATGATCGATGTGGCTAATTTTGCTGATCTTCTGACAAATTTCTCAGAAACGCTAGAATAAGCTATACTACATTTAATCCATAATTTTTTTTTTTAGAAACATATAAAATTTGAAAACTTTTAAAAATTTTTGAAAAACTTTTATAATAAAATTAAAGAATTGACTATATTTAGACAATTTTTTATTTTATTTATAAATATATATATAATTAAAATTGGGTTATATAATTTAATACATATATGTTGTAATACATCTTCTGATCAATTAATTAAAATGTAAGATTAGATATAACGTTATATGATCAGAAAAATTTAAAACCTCCCAAGTGACACATCTAGAGTTCAATTCCCACCGACAACGAAAATCGAATTCTTCTGTGTATTGATGACTATTCGGGTGTTGGGGTGTAGATCCTGTAACGATGGTCAGACCAAATAGGTGCAAGGGGTAATGATCGCCTAATGGACAGCTTATCTCGCAAGCTCTAATCGGGTGTGGTAGTACAGACTTGGAAGATCTTGGGCATTTGTGTAATAGAGAAGTTACACAAAGGGATACAAACCGATAAAAGGCAGTGTAAACCTATGATAAGTTCCTGGGACCTGTGTAAATCTGTTAGACGTTGTCTCAAATAGGAATTCGCTTGGCAAGTCCTGAGTAGAGAGGTAGCACTACTTTCGACGGCTTTAGAAAGTTCGAGAAGAAACCAATAAGCTGTGGATCCAGACGAGGACCGAGTGTTTGGCGAGCACTATACCAACCAGGCCACCGTAATCGACTGGAGGAAAAGGGCACAGGCCGGTATCTGGGTTAAGCCAGTAGGAAAGCGGGTAATGTAACTTGTGAACCAAACTAGGCTATCTGGATTGGAAGTTTGGTGAAACAGTGGAAGGGTTTCTGATTGGATGAGTAAGGGCTGGGGTAGAGTGAACTTTGCAAAGCCAAGGAGTAGGTAATGGTAGCGGAGAAATACCGCAAATACTTGGTCCCGGCCTAGGTATAAGTTACCGAAAAAACCTAGGTAATACATGTTTGTGGAACATGGACTGCTCTAGTAGGTTTACCACAAGGATAAATCAGTCCTAAGGGGCCTTAGCGGCAGTTCCTCTTTGGAAAGAATATCCGACAGCGCTAAGTTGATCAGAGGGTTTAATTGGGTAACTCAAGTAATAGTGGGTTATAGTTACGGCATCTAGTGTAGTACTTAGTAATAGAGAACTACTTAATTAGGTGCTCAAAAGGCGCAGATATGACTAGAATGTACTTTTGTTAATGTAACAAAGTCAGGAGTGGTCCTGTGGCTGCCCTGGCATTCGCAACTGAAGTTAATAAATGTGCCAGACCCCCAAGTGGTCACCTTAACATTAAAAAAAAAAAAAAAAATTTAAAACAAGAGTTCGTTTTGCCAAAAATTACCAATCCTTTAAACTGTCCAGCTGGCAAATTTGCCAGCTAAAATTTTTTTAACATGTTTTTTTTAAATTACTAAAAATTTTATTAAAGTTAAGTACTTTTATTACTAAGCTAAAATAAAAATTTAGTATATGTTTAATTGATATCTATTAAAATTTTAATTATATATATATTTATAAATAAAAGAAAAAGAGAATTATAATTTGGTTCACCATGCACTGTGGTGCACCCCTGATCAGGGGGTATAAATAGCGATTATCAACTGATTAAATCAGTTGATTTTTTTTTTTTTTTGTTTTTAGCGCGTTATACTCATTACTATTAATTTTTTTTTTGACAGTTTCGTCATTGGTGTCGTCTATACCAGATTACCAGATCCTTTGTTTGGAGTTGGTGTTGTTGTCAATTACTGGAACCATCGTTTGGAATTGATGTCGCATGTCGTTGTTGATTACTGGAGCCATCATTTGGAATTGGTGTTTCGCGTTGTCGTCGATTGCTAGAGCCGTCATTTGGAGTTGGTGTCTCGTTTCGTCATCGATTACTGGAGCCATCATTTGGAGTTGATGTCTCGTCTCGTCGTCAATTACTGGAGTCATCGTTTGGAGTTTGTATTATGTATCATCGTTGATTACTGGAGCCATCGTTTGGAATTAGTATTCTCGCTGTGAATTGTGTGTTGCTGTCATTGGCAGTTGCTGGTGGGACTTTGTGTCATTATTTGATACATCGTATAGTTGTCGTTTTTTGTACGTTAGTAATGACGGCTTTGGTGGGCAAGGGTGTTTAGTTTTGTGATATGAATGCATTACTAATACTTGGTTGTTTTTTTTTAGAATTGTTAGGCTTCTTAGAAACTGTTAGCATTTGTTTTGGAAATCTGGGAAGTATAATTTGTAGATTTGTTGTTCTTGTTTTATCTTGCTTTTAAATGCATTACTAATGCTGCCTTTTTGTTTCTAGGTTTTTTAAGACATCTCTAAGTTCTTTCGGGATTTGTGGGTGTATAGCTTATGAATTCGGAACATATAGTTTTTTTTATTCGTTATTGCTTTTGTTTTGTAAATGTGTTACTAATGCTTTTCATTTTTTCTAGGTTAGGTCGATCTTGAGTTATTCTTAGGTTTGTATATTTTTTTTTCTTTCTTTTGATTTTGTTTTTCTTTTGTTTTCTTTTACTAACGTTTTTTCCTTTTTGTTGTCGCTTATTGCTTTTCTGATGCTATTATGCAATGCTTTCATCATTGGTGTCGTTATTATGAGTGATGAAAACACTTTCAACGTTAGCGTCATCATTATTGGAGTGGAAAATTTTAGATCATTGATTTCATCGTAATTGTTTGTAGTGTTGTTACTGTTTTTGTTGTTAATTCGGGTTAGGGTGTTTTAGATTTTATTGCTTTTTTGTTAGTTAGGGTTAGGATGTTTGAATTTTATTACTTTTAGCGTTAGTTTTGGTTAGGAGTTTTATTGGAGTCATCAGCAAAATTTATATACAGATATAAATCGATATATAGCACTTAATCGATATATATCGTTTAAAATATATCGATATATATCGATAAAAGTGTTATATATCGATTTTAATCTAAAATCGATAAAATACGATAATCTGATTAATATCGATACATAGCAAATAATCGATATATATCATTTTAAGAATAACGATATGTATCGAAAGCGTATTATATTTCGATATATATCAAAGTCGATATATATTGTTATGCGTTATATATCGATATATATCAAAATCGATAAATTCGATAATCTTATATTTATTACTGATTATATCGATGTAATATGTATACACTTTAA